GAAAAAGAAATAAAATATTAAAATTTAAAATATTTATATATAATAAATTTTTTTATTAAATTAACGATGTAATTTTCGAGTACGTTAAAAATTACGCTGATTTCTTTCATAAATTTCTACGTACATTTGCTGCAATGATTACGACAGAGTTTCACTCTCCCTCTTTGTATTACATAAGTTCCTTTAAACTTTCTCGTTTGTATTACATCGAACTCTTAAGTAATATCTAATGTATTATATATATACATGCGATACATTTAAAAAAATATATCACGTTAAGAAAAACGCAATACAAAGGAAAATAAGTTAAATATTCTATTAAATTTTTTAAAAAATTTATATTGCATTATAGCAATTATATTAAATTTAAAAAACATAATTTTATATTTATTTTTATCAAATTAAATTAAATTAAAAACTAAGAATAATAAAATTGTTTAAATATTTATAAAAAAATTTTGAAAAAAAATTGAAATATATCTAATAATAAATTTATATATAATATTATATATATTATATATATTATATTTAATCATATATGATTTAATTATTTAAAATTATGTTGTAGTTATATTATTTTGTGGTAAAAATCTCTTAAAATAATTATAAATTATTATAATATAATTGTTTAAAAATTAATTAAATTGTGTATTGTGTATTGTTTTAGAAATATTACCTGATGCTCTATCTACAGGTTGCAATAAGTGCAATGAAAAACAGAAACGTACAGCAAATAAAGTAGTAAATTATTTAAAAACCAAGAGACCAAAAGATTGGGAACGACTTTCCGCAAAATATGATTCTACTGGTGAATATAAAAAGCGTTATGAACATGTATTGCAATTTGCAAAAAATAATTAAACTTATAACATCTAAAGAATAAATTTATGAAGAAATTTTATGTAATGAAAATATAATAAATCAATCTAATTTACGTATAGACACTTAATAATAATTTTGTTATTTTAAATTGATAATTATAATATTTGTTAAAAATTTCATCTTATTGCATTTAAATGTTTGATTAAGTAGTTTCGTTATATTATATATACTAAATATATGTATCTACATGTTTATAAAGTAAATATATATACATCTTTTTACAAATACATGTTTTTTTAACTATATTTTAAATATTCGTTTATAAAATTCATTTATTTATTAATCTATTTGTGAATGAATTCATACATTGTGAATGAACGGTATACATCGCAATGAAATATTTATAAGTAAAAGACATTGAATTTTGGATTGCATTTAAATCATAAATAAAAAATTTTTAATTCATTCAACTCGCCTTTTCTTGACAAGTGAACCAAGCTGAAAAACATTAATTTCAGTTTGATATCATTTTAATAATATCATCAAAAATATAAAAAACTTACAAGATCTGATATTGCAGGTAAATTGTTAGTTTGATCTGTAACTGTTGTTTCTGGTTCTCTAGTTTCCTTTGGTGGAGCAGCTTTTTTCATATTTCTATGTTGTGGAAAAGTAGGCATCAGTTTGGGATCACATGCTATAAAGCAAATTAAAATATAATAATATTAAAAATATTATATATATATTTATTATATATACATACATATATTTTACTTACGCAAAGGAGCTTCCTTAAAATAACTACTTTGTAAACATTCTTCTGCAGTTGCTCTTTTTTTTGGATCATACATGAATAAAAAATTTAATAATCTCAAACCAGCAGCACTTAACCATGGAAACCTTTGTTTTAAATTATTATATGGTTGTTGTTTTAATGTAAAGTTTTGTAATGCTGGAAGTGTATTAAATTCTGGCCAAATTGCTTCACTTGGTGTTCCTAATAAATCAACAATTAATTCTAACTGTGCAATTTCTGATCTTCCAGGCAATAAAGGCCGATGTCCAAGTAATTCTCCTAATAAAACATAAAATGGAAGTTAAATTATTGTATTACAATTTTTATATGTATATAAAAATAAAAAAATGTTTATACCTAGAATGCAACCTGCAGCCCACATATCAACAGAAGTTGTTTGAGTTTTTGCTTGTAATAACAATTCTGGTGCTCTATACCATAATGTTACTACTCTAGGTGTCATTGGTTTTAAAGGTAAACCAAACCACCTAGCTAGTCCAAAATCAGCAATTTTTACACATCCTTTATCTGTCATTAGGAGATTTGAGACTTTCAAATCTCTGTGTACAATAAAATTATGATGCAAATAACGTAAACCTTTTAGTACTTGTAAAACAATACATTTGACTTGACTTTCTGAAAATGGAGCTTGCATATTATCTAACAAACTTGCTAAATCTTGTTCACAATATTCCATAGCAAGAAATATGCTTTCTAAACTTCTTCCTACTACTACTTCTCTTAAATGTACAATATTTTCATGACGACAAGATAAAAGAACAGATATTTCTCTTAAACCACTGACTGGAAGACCATCTTTCTCATGTTCCATTCGAACTTTTTTCAATGCTACAACTTTGTCATTTTTAGTGTCTCTTGCTCTATAAACAATTCCATAAGTACCTTCTCCTATACGATTTAATTTTTCAAATTCAGATACAAATCTGCATTTACCTAGCTATAAAAAAAATAATATTTATCACATTATAATAAAAATAATTAAAATCATAAAAAAATAATCATAAAAAATTATAAATTAAATTTTTACAATATCTTGTTCTGGTATTTCCATTGGTTTGCCAGTCAAAAATGATGTTAATACTCCTCTCCTAGTTATTGGTGCTGATGGATCAGGGCCTGATTCAGATGCAGTTTTTTTATCAGTATCATTATTTTCTACTGATTTTTTCTCTAATGTTTCGTCTGAAAGATTATTAAAATTTAATATTAATTATTTATTAGTCATTTTGATTATTATTTGATATAATTATTTAAATTAGTTTTTATAAAAATCATTAATATTTTTGAAATTATTTTTATTAATATTAATTCTATTCTATTTAATATCATTATTATTTAAGTAATAAATTAAAAATTGAAAATATTTAAAGATTTCAAAAATTAGTTATATCAATTACATAAAATTTTTAATTAAAAAAATATATTTTTTACAAAATAGATAAGATCATTAATAAACATTTAAATTATATATATTTAATTATTTTTTAATTTTTAGAAATCTTTTTCATAAATTTTAAATCTAAATTATATTTCGAAAAAAAACTAAAAATATTAGTAATAACTTTAAATTTAAGATTATCTGTTAAATAAATTTTTAAAAATCGCCAAAAAAAATAGAATTATTTTAATATAAAAATAATATATAATAAATGATGAAATATTTAAAATATAATTACTTAACCTAACATAATAATATTTATATTGTAATTATAATAAAATAAAAGTATACCTTTTGTCATCATGTAATTTTTTTAAAAAAATATTTTTGAAATTATATTTATTTTTCTTTTTTACATTCGTGTCTTAGAAAACGTAGATGAAAATACTATCGACTACCAATAATTACTTGGTCGAGTACAACAGTTTTCAATAATTTTCTATAATTCGTTTGCACCATTAAAAATATAATATGTAGATTCGATAACAACGATGATAATAAATATCATTGAAAAATGCGCTACCTTACGTTATTTTTAAAAACAAAATGAATGAAAAATTAAATTTTAAGTTTGTTATAAATATTGTTATAAATATATATATATATGAATAAAAATAATAAAGATTAAATTTAATTTTTATTACTAATTAGAACATTAATAATTGTTTTGTATTTTTAATTTTATGATAAATTTGCATATTTTATTTCTTTAAAAAAATATTTTATATATTAATAGAATAATTATAGAATTTACTTATAAATATTATTATTTAATAAAGCATTGATTTATATTTTTTTTATTTTTTATTATTTACATGCATATTATATTATATATTTTAATAATATATTTTCTAACTTTATATATGTATATATGTTTTATATATATTTGTCTAACTTTAGTACTTGTAAGTTTATGATATTTATATTATGATCGATATAGTATAGTGACAAATAGTACAACATTTATAACATAAAATAATGTATTTCTAAAGAAAATGTGGTTTTGTTTTTCATAGTGATTTCCTTAAGATTTTTTTTAAGTTTATGTAAATTTACTCATACTGAAAATTATTAAATTCGTAATTTGAATACGAAATTATAGTATATTTCAAGCATGTAAACTAAAAATTAGAAATTGATCATTAAAAGTTAACCTTATTTTTATTACCAACGGTTTTTTGTAAAATTGATATATTTTTGTTTTTTAATTAATATGAATGAATATATGACAATAGAAAAATCAAATGTATTGAACTATTATGTTATCAATGGTGTTTGATATTGATGGAGTATTTATCAGATAGAACAAATTTTTAGATAAAAAGATAATTTTCGTGAAAAGAAATTACAATTTTATATGTAAAATATTAAAATCTAAAAAATGAGTTCTCATCATGAATTGAACATATCAATTGAACATCCAATTTCTGGTGATATAGATCATATTAAAACACTTTCTGAAGATATTGGTGCTCTTTATCTTTCAGATGATTATTCAGATGTGACTTTAATTGTTGGTGGACAAAGATTCAATAGTCACAAAATTATTTTAGCTGCACGTAGCCAATATTTCAGAGCTCTTCTGTTTGGTGGTTTAAAAGAATCCACACAACATGAAATTGAATTAAAAGATGCTAATCTAACTGGATTTAAAGGTTTACTTGAATACATATATACAGGACGAATGTCTCTTACAGACCGACGTGAAGAGGTATTAATAATTATCAATAAATATTTCATAATTATAAATTTTTATTAATTTTTTTTTAATTATTATTATTCATTCAATTGTTATTGTTTTTAGGTTGTATTGGATATTCTTGGATTAGCACATCTTTATGGATTTTCAGAATTAGAAACGTCTATATCAGATTATCTTAAAGAAATATTGAATATAAAAAATGTTTGTCTCATATTTGGTGCAGCACTTCTTTATCGATTAGAATTTCTTACTAAGGTATTAATATGATGTCTAATAAAAAAAAAAATTGATTGATGATGATATTAGATAAAATTTATATCTATCTGTATCAAATCTAGGTTTGTCATGAATACATGGATGAACATGCATGTGAAGTAATTCAGCATGAGAGTTTTTTACAATTAAGTGCTGATGCTTTGAATGAATTAGTATCAAGAGATTCTTTTTATGCGCCAGAAATTGATATCTTTTTAGCTGTAAGAGCATGGGTGAATGCAAATCCTGATACTGATGGCAAAAATGTTTTAGGTGAATATAAAAGTATTAAAAACAAGAATTTTATTAAAAATATATTTTAAAAATATCATTTATAATAATACTATTCAATTGATTAGACAAATTTTGTAGATAAGGTACGATTAAACTTAGTTTCAATCACGGATCTTTTAAATGTTGTTCGGCCAACTGGATTAATTTCTCCAGAAGCAATCTTAGATGCAATAGCTGCAAGAACACAAACACGTGATTCAGATCTTAATTATCGTGGTCGGTTACTTATTGATGTGAATGTTGCCCATCCTATGCATGGTGCTCAAGTTCTACAGGGTGAAATGCGAAGCTATCTTTTAGATGGAGATACAAATAATTATGATATGGAACGCGGGTAAATTATTAATTCACTTTTATTATTAAATTATTCCTTTAAATAATATTATTTTTTTACCAGATATACTAGACATACCATTACTGAATCACGAGAACATGGTATTTTAGTTAAATTAGGAACTCAGTGCATCATCAATCATATTAAAATGTTGCTTTGGGATAAAGATATGCGTTCATATTCTTACTATGTAGAAGTAAGTTAAAATAAAAAATTGAATATAAATTAAAATATAATCTTTATATTTAATTTTTTATATCATAATTATTTTTTTTATAGGTCTCTATGGATCAAAAAAATTGGGTTCGAGTTATTGATTATACAGAATATTTTTGTCGCAGTTGGCAATATTTATATTTTGAACCAAGAATAGTTCTTTATATTCGTATTGTTGGAACAAATAATACTGTAAACAAAGTAAAGTCGTTATTAAAATATAT